TACTTCCACTCTGGAGTTGCCTGCGGTGAGAGGCGCCGGGCAGGAGTGGGCATACTTGTTGCCCCCCATCTTGGCGCCTGTACTTTGGGGTTAACCCCGATTAACGAGAGGGTAGCCTCCCTCCGCCTACGGGTGGGGGGACGGGTTCTGACTGTTGTCTGCGAGGTCAGCGGGAAGTGTAACCAGCTGCYTAATGGCTGAGCTACTCCTTTTGGATGCCTTACCACGGCAGGCTCTTGGAAGAGCCCGTGTATTTCAAGAGCATACTGATTTACTGGCAGAAAGTGACGAGTGGTTGTTATCGCGTTTTAGATTGCCACTGCATGTGCTGCTGCAAATTTGCACTGTGCTGGAACCGCAACTGGCCAGACAGACAAAACGATCAAACCCCATCCCTCCACATCTCCAGATCCTTACTTCATTAGGATTTCTGGCCACGGGAACATTTCAAAGGGAGATGGGAGACGGATCTGGTGTGTCGCAGTCTTCGGTGAGTCTTGCGCTCCCCTTGGTCATCAAATTCCTCCTCAAGTTAACACCCAGGTACATTACATTTCCAAACACCGCCGCTGAACAAATACAGATTAAGACAGATTTTCATGCTATTGCTGGACTGCCAAACACCATTGGAGCAATAGATTGTACACATATACGGATCAAAGCCCCTTCACCTGACGCATTCCCATTCCTCAATCGGAAGCAATACCACTCCATCAACGTCCAAATTATATCAGATTCAAAGTACAAGCTGCTAAATGTGGTTGCGAGATGGCAGGAGGAGCGCACGACTCATTTGTGCTGCAAAACAGCGCAGGTGGCATACGTCTTGCGCAAGGTGCGCATGGAGATGGCTGGCTTGTTGGTAAGGAACTTTTTAATTTGTAACTGAGGAATTGAAATTATTTTCTGACCATTTACCTATAATTCACCATTTCCACAGGTGATCGCGGCTATGCATTAGCCTCATGGCTTATGACACCACTAACCATCCCTCAGACCAGACAGGAGTGCTTGTATAACCAGCTGCACACGCGCACTCGTGCCGTAGTCGAGCGCACAATTGGCGTTTTGAAGGCCCGGTGGATGTGCCTTGACACTGCTGGTGGCAAGCTGCTCTACACATCGGAGAAAGCATGCCAAATTATTCTGGCATGCTGCATATTGCACAATATTGCAGTGAAGGAAGGCGTTCCATTCCCCGATCCAGCACCAGCAGAAGAAATGCCACAAGACCCCCCACATGGACCACACCAGTAAAATGCAATCATGACAAGACAGCAGTTAATTGCACGGCTTTAGGGTAGGCCATGATGTTGCAGCCTAATTAATTTAATATAATGAASAGCTTTATTCAGACTTGGACTTTTTAAATTCACATTTTATTTTGTTGCGATTTAGTCAGCACATCAGCTATGCATGCCAGACTGTCTGATATTTTCTCCAAAGTGCCAGACATATTATGCAGACATTTTAAAATGCTTTCTTGATTTTTCAGAATGGCATCTGATACCACTTTTGTGCGTGGGAGACGGCGGGGGGCTGACACATTAGCTGGTCCGGCCTGCGGTTCCATGTGCTCCTCTTCTGAATAAAAGAAAATTAACACATTTGTTTTATCCTTTCTTCAACATAACTTAAATTTGTGACCAAAGGGAAACAAAAGCAGGACTAAAGATAAATTAAAATGATTTTTGATTTTAATTCTGTCAGTTAAGATGCATTTAAATAAAATAAGGTCTTTTTTATTATACTTACCATCACTGTCAGGTGTATTGACCATATCCTCACATCCAGATTGATGTAAGTCGGTGTCCAGGGGAACATCCTCAGATGGAATGTCTGACACAGAAACCTCACCCAGTATGGCATTTATTTTTCCATCCATCTTGGTAACGCAAACTTTCCCTTGACCTCCTCCCGTTGCAGTCATAGAGCACCGTGCTGTGGAGAGACGMTTTTTTTTAAGCTATTTTCAAATCAAACCATTTCTTCTTTATTTCGGAGACTGTACGGCCCACGGGAGACACAGAATTAACAGCAGTAGTTATTTCATTCCATTCTTTGGCTTTAGTCGGTCCTTTCACTCCACGATTTACGCTGCTAAAAAGGACAGATTTTCTTTTCTCGATCTCTGAGAGCAGGACTTCAATCTCTGAACCAGTAAAGTTCTTCTTTTTACTTTTCATTGTCATTTTCATGAATGGATACTTCCTGATATCGGAGGCAGGAAACAGAGCCTTATATGGTGTTTTTGGGGTGGTAATTATGCTAATTCCTCTCCGCGTGCACGTGCAGCTGGATGCGAACAGGTGTAATTCATCATGTTTACGCAGCTCATTTACACACTTTTCCTGAAGATAGAAGAGTTTGTTGAATCTGACATGGCATTTTCGTACGAACCCTTCGTACGAAAAAGTAAGAGAAATTTAGGATAAGAATATAAACATGTTCTTGCAMGAGGCCCATTGAGTCTGAATGGACCATGTTCCATACCTCCATTGCCAAGGCGGCTTATCGGAGCTGCAGCCGCAAGGTTGCTGGTGCCTGTCACGGCGGCAACCCTCAAACCCGTTGGTGGACACCTTCGGGGAGGGATGCTGTCAAACTGAAGAAGGAGACCTATCAGGCCTTTTTGGCCTGTGGGACTCCAGAAGCAGCTGATCGGTACAGGCGGGCGAAGCGGCATGCGGCTGGGGTGGTCGCTGAGGCAAAAACCTGGGCGTGGGAGGAGTTTGGAGAGGCCATGGAGAATGACTTCCTTTCGGCTTCGAGGCGATTCTGGTCCACCATCCGGCGTCTCAGGAGGGGTAAGCAGTGCAGCACCAACACTGTCTCAGGACGTTGTGGGCCGGTGGGCGAAATACTTCAAAGACCTCCTCAATCCCACCAACATGCCTTCTGTTGAGGAAGCTGAGCCTGGGGACTTTGGGTTGGGCTCTCCGATCTCTGGGTACGAGGTCGCCGAGGTGGTAAAAAAAACCTCGGCGGAAGAAAATGGATGGATGGATAGAAGTCTTGTACCTAAACTGAATGAATTCAAAGTAATACTTGCTCAGACACAAGCACATGTTGTGGCTATATCAGAATCATGGCTGACTCCTGCTATACCAAATACCTTTCTTTCAGTTGAAAATGATTCATTGTATCGTAGAGACCGTACTGATAGGCTTGGAGGTGGTGTTGCA